TAATTGAAATAATGTAAGTGGAAGTTTTCCATGAGACTAAAAATATCTGTAAAAATCATCTAAATACTTTCACAAGTCTTTAGAAAAAAACAAGGCACTCTACTCAAGAAAAAAAATTTGTGAGTAGTATGGACAACTCCTAAAAATGTTTAAAAAATCACGGTCAAGTTATTGTCCTCTTGCAATCTTCACGAATGAATAGATTAATTTGGCGATCGAATGGTTTGATAAAATATTTGACGACTTTGGAGATGTTTTCGCGCAACACTTGGTGCATACACTTTGCTCCAATTTTGTGTCTCTTTCACACAGAATCTATAGATTCATGAACAAAAGCACGAGCAATACTATATACAATAATTATAACATTATACTACATGGCATATTGACTTATAAGATCTGCGATCTCTATTCCATCTCTGTACCGATAATTTTTATCTTGCAGCATTACATTGGTTTAGGAACTTTTTGATTGCACCTCAGTATAAGTTTACCGTGAGACCCATCAAGAAACTGGGCCGAAGGAGCGCGAAGATTTTTCTTGTCAAATTGGCGCTTAGTAGCAACGACGATAGGAGCGAACTGAACCAGCACAAAATATCAGCGTAAAATATACTTAATAGATAGATAAGTATATACGCGCACAGCCTTAACGACCTCAGTAAGAATAAAAATAAAACACGCATATACGCATAAGCAGACGCCCGGGTGACGTGACACGGGACACAAAGTTTCACGCACCAATAATAACAGGCTACATCTCGTTAGCCGATTAAGTAGAAGCAATAGATGTCGCGAAGTACGCGTATAAGCGGAATTCCCGACAGTACGGATAATATCTTACACTTAAATGTCTATCACGCGATAATATAATTGGATATTCTAATTATCTTGAGTAGAGTTAGGCTCAAACTGAGCGATTATCGTCGTTCTGCATGAAAAACGAAATTGTATGCACTCAAGATTACGCTGCACTCTTACTGTTATTTTTTTCAAAAAACAGAAAAGAAAAGTATATAGGATAGTTGTCACTTCGTGATCGAATCGTGACCTGAATCACGAAGTGAGGTGACCGTACCTTCCACAGGAAAGGGACTTGCATTTCCGGCAAGCTCACCCGGCTCAAACGGATAGATACGATTCTACCGAACGTAGGGTATGCAGTAGGGGTTAACATCCACGAGGAGACTGTGATATTGATGTGAAGTGGCTAGTACTTAAACGAACAGGGTCAAACGGATTACGAAGTATCGTGAGGAACTTGCTCAAGGTCGCACCGTGTGGTAGCACAGAATGAGTAATCGTGAGTTCGGGTACCACAGACTCTATCGTCCCGTATTAGCCGGTAAAAAAAACACCCCATAAATTACTTAAGATTAGCTGTTAAAGACTAGCAGAGATATGTCTTACACTATCGTTGTCTATTATACATACGATCGTGTCGCATTTATCATGAGGACCGAGGAGCGGGATGACGAAGCGTGTAGAAATTCTCGCACGAGGATAAAGCTTGCGGAATACAATTTTTCTCGAGAATTTAGACGGTGCTTCCGTTCTGTAATAATAATAGTTGCGAAAATCGCTTATTGAGCCGATCCTCGAGTGTGAGTTCATATCTACGATCTGATTATGCTCAGCTACGTACATCGTAGCGAGTAAAGGAGTTTCCTCAGTCTCGTGTATATAGTAATTGATAGTATCCCGTGAGATATCAGTATTGCGTCTCGCAGCTTTTTGTCTTTCAAGTTAATCGCTGCACTTTCGGTTTTTCGAAACGGATCGAGGGTAAACGTCGAGGAAGGCCAAGAGAGATATTACAAGAGGGATAACTGAGACGTGTATGTATGCATTGTATATAGATTAGTTATTTAAAATGTAACGCGACAGTGTAGGAGAGTGAAGAAGTTATAAAGAGCGTGTATCATTCATTAAGCCGGCGACTCAGCAATGAGACGAGAGAAATTCTTTCTCAAGTTCAATCGAAGCGAATAATCGAATTGTACCATATAATAGTATTTTATAATTTTATAAACGATATGGGGAGATAATGATGCTACGATTCTGCATCATGAAAGAGATCTGCAGCTTGTAAATTATAAATTAAATATAAATTGTAAATTATAAGTTATATGAATTATATGTTTGGTGATGGTCTCGAGTCTTGGATAATTTTTAAGAGTAGTAGATTGTCACGCGTAGTAATTTTAACAAATGAATACGTAAATATATGTAAATATTTCTGCAATACTACAAATTTATTTATGCAGCATCGTTTTGATCGCGCGATTTTTGATGTCGTTAACTCGCATCGAACGTAATTTATTTAGTCATGCTAAATATCGAAGCATATATTACTATTTTTCCACACAGATAAAGTGTTAAAGTATTATTGTTTCGATTGTAATTGACTAAATTGGATAATCGACTAAAAGAAATTATCATTGGCAATTGTAAATCGAACGATACGATTTCTACGATAAGAAAAATCGCCGTCGTCATTGCGAGTTGTTCGGCAAAAATGGACTTGGTTTTTCGAGCCACCTTCCGTCCGTCCCGAAAATCAAAAGGTAACAAGGAGGAACAAAGTTAAGCGAAGAGGAAGTTAAACGAATAATTGTAAAGCAGCACATAAGGAAGCGATCGCTTAGGTACTTATTGTGGTACTTATGAAAAATGTCGTTTAATCAATGTACTTAAATATTAACACACGTAGATCGTTGTTAGCGAGATCGTTGCTAATCGACGCACGTTGTCGATATCTTCTCCTTTATTCATCTTTGTAACTTTTATTGTTTTTTATTTTCTTCGGACTGAAATTTCTTCCGTTTCTCCAGTTGTTTCCCCGTACATTTCTCGAGGAAGTGTATGAGAAGAAAATGTGTACATATATATAATACAACATAACGATTCGTTGTAACATTATCACGTTTATGTACTTATTGTTTTCCTTTTACGTTTCTTAGTCGATGTACGCTAACTTACATGGTTTATTTGACTAGGATCGAGGAGGAGCGATAGCGGCGTCTTGGCTAGTCTCTTCATTTACGACGTCTATAATTTATTCGGAGGTTGAATTCTTTTTTGTAACTTTTTAATCGAAGCGATCAATGAGTTTCAATGTGTTAGACGTCTTTTTCTTTCCACTTCTGGGAAGCTAGGAGATCAGCCAAGACGCGTTCCGGTGTCTCGTTTGACTGAAGACGAGTGCATTTAGACAAGCGGACAACAGTGGCATACGTACACATATACATATACACATACACATACTTAGAGATGAGAGACGCCGGGACAAGGATATAGGCGAATAGATGCACCGCGTGCCAAATTCAAAAGTGCAACCGCGTTGCCTGCCAGCTGGATGGTACATCGCGCACGCTTACGTGGTTGTGTTGTACATAGTATCGCCGGTCGATTCCTGGATCAACATACGACTTAATGCGTGTATATTTCGTAAAGGTATCCTTGTTCATTTTACATTGTATCTGCCACTGTAAAAATACGGTTTATTATATAATATCTGTTGTGATTATGAACATGTCTTTTGTTTCCTTTTTTTCACAAAATACGCACTTTTCTAATGGGAAGTGTCAATTCCTCAACATACGTTTATCTTTGTATTGATTGAGACACAAGAGATGAAGAAGAGATGACTTTTTTCTTTTCAATTATGCAAGTATTAATATTTATTTAATGCTTTTCATGTTTAAGATATTTTTATTTTTTAATGCTGTCCCCTTAAAACATAAAAATTAAAAGATTACATTTTGTAAAATATATTTTGTTAAGCAATTGATAATATCACTTATTATTACTAATAGCATTTCAATTATAATACACTAAAATAATACACTAAAATACAGAGAATCAAACTAATATAGTCTATATATTTTAAGTATAGTTTTTAATAGATAATAATATATATAAGTCATATATGACAACATTTTTTTTATATTTAATTAAAGTTTTTTTCATGTTGAAAATAAATTATGGGATATTATTAATTTATCACATAATATGTAATCTCGCCAAATTCATGATAATGTAAAATCACAAACTGCAATATGAATTCACATTGACATCTGATATTTGTTCAATCAAAATTAATATCTGTTTCTTAAAAAATAATTAGAATGTGGAAAAGTGCAACATATTACGATTAAAATTAACATGTCGAGTCTCGAGGACGCCTTCGCAAAATTTCCATCTAGTGTTCCTTCGCGATGTTCTCCAAAATTACGCCGTAATGATTATGTATGCCCGAAATCTTTATTTGACGTATCACCGCGTCCCTATGGATCTGCCGTTCAATTCCAGCTTACATGTACTTGTGACAGGTATGTTACACAATATGATTCTTGTACATTTTACATTAAGCGAATAGATTGATAGCTGCATTAAATTTTCAACAATTTTACTATATACATTTAGATAATGTTTAAAAGTAGACTAAGGTTATGCAAAATAACATAAAATTGAAAGAATTTAAAATATGTATAACGATTTTCATATTTACTTATTCTTTATAGAATCTCTTATTCGCCCTGCTATTTTCCTGCTATTCCACGCTGTCGTTCTCCTGGAAAACCGTCAAAAAAAGTAATGTGCTGTTGTCTCAAGTGATTTGACTGTACTGGAAAACCGGTTTTAACATGTCAAAATAATCATACGTAATCATCAATTAATAATTATATCAGAGGTGAGAAATTATCTAGAAAAAATCGAAAGAAAGCATATAAAATATTTTAATGTAATTAATTTAAGATATAAAAAAAATTTAATTTAGAAAATTCTAAAAAGTTATTTTAAGATCTTAATCTACTTAAAAAATAAATTTCAGCACAGAGTATATTATGGAAAGGAATACATCGATTTTCTCAAACAAAAGATTGTTAATCGATTTGACAGAAATATTAGATATTTTATATTTAGAAATTTTGATAAAATGTAACGTCTAAATTTTTCAAGTAAAAAATAAGAATGTTTTATTTCACTGGTTACAAAGAGAAAAAACGACTAAATTTATTGCTTCCACCATGTATCATCGCAAACCATTTTATTGTACAAGCAATGGCTGTTTGTCCCCAGAACCAAGACTTTCTAAATATTGTCATTACCCACTTTCGTGTCCACCATTGGTAAAAATAATATAAATTTTTTAAGAATATTGTGAAATCGTGAATTTTACATAGTATATATAATTTATACAGTTCAAACAAGATTTAAGGACAAATATTAAATAAATAGAATTTAATTAATGTAGTGCAAGAAAAGTAAGATCAATGCAAATAACTATTATTTTACAATTTTTATGATATAATAGCAATACGATTTATCTTGCTTTTAATAAAATAAAAAAGGATGCATTATACACACAGATAGGTACACATAAAGAAATTATAATGGTATTCTTTACAATATCAGAATCTATTTTTATATAGATGTGTAGACCAAGACCAAAGTCGCTGCCATTACCACCTACTATATGTATCGCTGGACCTTGTCCACAACGATCAGCTTCAAGATTATATTGTCGTCCGTCAGCACCAAAAATATTGCCACCATCCTCCTGCGTTCGATTTTGCATTCGATACTCGAACGAAGGATCAAGTTGCTACCCTTGCTACTGGTCTAATTTACCAAAATGTCCTAGCAGTATCTGTTAGGATCATCTAACAGCATACTTGATAATACAGAACCGAGATATAAATGTTTTAAATTTAATTATTTCTGAAAATAAAACGAACTTATATAAATATAATTTAATATAGCAGTTTTTTTTTATTATTATGATTCCGGGTAGTGATTACGTAACTTTTTCCATGAAGCGGAAACATGAGAAATCAAAATTTTTATTATTGTACGTAATGGAAAAATTTTCCACTTTTCATATTTCTGCCTTAGAGAAAAAGTTATATGATCGTGTTACCATGATCATATTATAGTACATACAAACTATTAAATATTCTTAGAATAAAGAAATTTGTTATTCATTACCTGAGTTTATTTGCGATAAAAAGGCAATACAAAAACATAAAATGACATAATAATTTATAGAAAATGTAATATTTAATTTTGTGACGGTTCAGAGGTCAAAAATTATTGGAGTGCTCTTAATTTCAATAAAAAAAAGAACTATTCTAGCTATTCTATAATTCTAGTATTATTCTAGTTTAATTAAATTTTTTTGTTTCTTTGAAATCGAACTGAAAAGTTACATAAAATTAAAAAAAGCAAAACAAGCAATTAATCAAAATCCAAATAATTTAATTCAATCAATTTTTGTAATTCCATTATAATTGCAGTTAGTTACTGTTTAATTATATTTGTCGAAGTGACATCTTGTTGAAAACATCTTGTTGGTATAAATCATTTGACATAAATCATGAGTGCCGTTTAGTAAATTGCTTGACAAGAAATTCAAAATTAGTTAGCATGCCGTGCTAATGAGTTTTACAACTAATACTCCAAGTTTCGAGTTTGGCATTGGTCCAATTACGCAAACGTTATTTCCTTATATACAAAGATTGGCTAATATAATTTACAGTTTTGCAAAACGTTTAATCTATTAATATCAAAATGTATACAATACACATATAATTTCGAAAGTGCTTTTTATAATATCTCTCTCTCCTAAAAGAAAGTATATTGATAATTAATTAAAGTCTTAACAATATTAATTAAAATGTATTAACAGAAATTTACAGAACATTATTTACAGGACAACAAACTTGCATAACATTTTACGCAAATATCGTGAATAGGGGAGAGTGGTCTAAATCAGACCGTGTTCTAAATAGGACCTTTTTAATTTAAATGAATACAGTTAAGCAGATTTGCGTACTATTTATAACGTAAAGTCTTTATAAGACACCGAACATGTGATAGCAGTTTGACTGTTCTCTGTCATAACATTCATAAAATAAAGGCAAATATGTATTTTCAGTCATCGTGCGAAAATTTAAAAAAAAAAAAAATCCTTGTAAATCATTATTTAAAAGGTGTTAAAAATTTGAAAAGTAATTGATTTAGGATAATTAAAGAGTGTAGAATTACAAAGAGTGTAGATTACAAAATATCAAGCATTTCGTGATCACTGTTGCGGTTTATTGTAAAATTTGTTCCAAAGTTCGAAAGGACCCGTGTCCAAATCGGATAGTACAGTGAATAACTTATAGGCCTGGTTGTAGTACTGGTGATCGGCTGACTAGATCTGGTCCAAGCAATTAAATCAGTAAAATGTCATGAGTCATCAGACTCAGATTAGTTGAGTTTTATTGATTTCAATTCTAATAATATAAACAGTCACTATTTTCTTTTTCCGAAAAAAATGTTTATCTTTGACTGTCAAATTGCTCGTTTTTACTCAATACTAAGAAAAATACATTAAAATATTTTAAAATTCTATCTAAAAATAGGAGTTTTCGATTTGAACCAGGGGATGGTCCGATTTGGAACCAATAGTTCTAAATCGGATCGGAAAAAGCGTTTTTACATTTTCCATTATAGTTTAACACAAGTGAGAGATACGTCAAAATAATCTAAAGCAAAAATGAAGGGAATTAAGTGATCTTTCCAACAGCACCTTCGATTTTACGATCGGACTTTATTTATACCTTATAGAGAGCAAAAACTGCAAATAGATCCGATTTAGACCACTCTCCTCTATATCATTTAATTTTCAATATATATGTATTTTAATTTTAATGCACTTTTTGCAAAATAATATTTATAAATACTAATTTTAATTTTACAGGAAAATAAAAAGAAAAAAATTAAGTTTTCTTGCTAGTTGCTATTAATACGAATTGATGATAAAATTGATTGACAAAAATAAGAGAGATAATAAAAACGGCCAGCTATTTCATTCTATTCAACTAATCACAATTTCTTAGAAAGAAAAGGAGATTGGTCATCTTCATGCTATTTCTCTCTCTCTCTCTCTCTCTCTCTCTCTCTCTCTCTCTCTCATTTTTGTTGACTACATTTAATATATTTAAATATGGATGACGCAGTTCATACATAATGTCTTCGACTGCGACGAACAAACGCGGTTGGAAAGTATACAAAAGACACGCTGGATTAAGATGCACCGTCACTTACATTATGATGAATCGAAAAAAAAACGACTCTAAATGAAAATCCTCTTTCGCCATGTCAGTATCGCGGTGACGTCGCGTCGTGTCGGGACGTACAGGACTATATGTAGGGTGCATACGAGGAAACGTCGCTTACGGGCAATTTGTTTGGCCGGCGTGCAGGCGACCGTTAAGCCGATTAACGCAATCACGCGCGAGGCAGATCGGGATCGATGGCGAGCATCGTCCGTTTCGTATAATACCCGCATTATCTGTCACTAAGCGCGCGTCGACCAACGATTTTACACCGGATCCCGTCGGCCCCGCCGTTTTATCCGTTTCTGTTCCGACGACGCGGCTGCTACATATTTTACACCTATCGTCGAGTACGAGTTTTTTTTATTCCACCGCGTCCCGAAGTTCCGCTAAAAAAAAAGGTTCCGTCAATGCAGCTGAATTCGCGGTGGCGTGGACCATGACAGCGCATTATAGACTGAATGGAGTGCTTTTATGCGGTTCGGATTTCGCAGGCACGCGCACGTTTACCGTTGCGGCCGGCTATAAAATGGAAAATGAATGGTCGAGGGAAAACCTTGGTCGTTGTTATTTCGCTCCGACGAGAGCCTTTGTTCTCGGGCTTTTCCCATTATTGGCAATCGTCGGTTTTGTCTCGCATAAAACATTATGATTTTTATTAGGATTTTGTCGAGTGCAACGACGTGTCACATGAATCTGTGAGACACAAAGAAAGTTATAAGAGTAATTTTACTTAAAGTATATAATTCACCATGCAACATGTACAAGTTTTGTTTCCTCTGTAACATTGTAGAAAAAGCAATCACAGGTCAGAAAAGAATAAAGAACAAAATTAAAACTTTTTAAAACGTAAACAAATTTTTTAAAAAGATAGAGAACTATATCTATCAATTTGTAATCTAATATTGAATTTTTAATACGTATATACGTTAATTTAGCGAGAAATGCTTTGTGTATTAATTCCTTAATACTTTACACCACTTTAATTATTTAAAAAGAATAATCAAAGTTTATATTTATATATGTATACAATTACAGGATTAAAGAAATATTATCAATGTAAAAATAAAAAATCTGGGTGTGGCGCAATTTCTTGCGGTTTGAGAATTTTCTCGTGAATATCTGAACTCTCGACATTCCAAATCCAATTTTTCTGGCGTATGTGGACCTGGAATGGATAGAGATGAAAAAGGCACGTAGATATACATACGTCGTTGCAGCGACGGAGTAAACGATGTTGCGTTGTCAACGAAAGGTAGGTAACCATCAGGCGGAAAACCCGGCGGAATCGCATTAACAATAAGTGCATTAAAGTGAGAGTCTTTCGAGCGAGGTTGGTGAAGTCGAGTGAGGAGGGGCGAGAGAACGAAAGGGAGATAGAAAGGATGAGGACACCTACACTGAGAAAGTGCGGGACCCAATTATTCAGTCAAATGGGAAGGATACGTTATTTTCCAGACGAGCCGTTTCCCTTCTGCTCGTCCTTCCTATGTCGCGCCGTATCCTTTACCGCTGTGCTCCGAAAAAAGGCCCTTTGAAGTGCGTTGGTTTCCGTGGGTTCGCTAATTGCATAAAATGTCAAAGCGTTTAGGCGGGAAAGTACAAAAACCAGTCATCAGGTATAATTAAGATCGTCGGTTTACTCTGGTCCCATTGCAAACAACACTTTTTCAAACAATATAAGATTTAGAAGAACAGCCAAACGTACGAGGGTGGAGTTCATCTTTCCAATTTCCTACGCATATTATATATACATAAACGTTATAATTATATATATTAACTCTTAATAAACACGATGATTTTTCGGTTCTTTACTATACACGATGGGTTATTCGTGTTCCGAATTAATTTTCTCTCATCACTTTAATAAATATACAAAAATTATTAAGTGATTCTTACATATACCTTAAAAAGTATTTGTAAGACTGTCTTTTAAAATTATTGCATAAATAATACTAATTACTTGATGTTCCTAGTTTTTCGAAGAAAAGAAATGTACAAGATATGAATGATCCAATCATGTGTATTAAGGTTCAACGATGTTATGCCCGTATCAGACTACAGATTGGCGATTAACGGTTGCTCGGTTCTACTTCAACTAATCACGATGTAACGAGTTCATCGTAATTGGCTGAAATAGAACCGGACAACCGCCAATCGTAATCGTCAACCTGTATTCTGATACTCCCTTTACGCTGATTTTACAGGGATTCTTCCATATATCCTATTTCTATTGATTTGATTTCTTAAATATCTTGTTCATTTTTTGTAAAAATAATAAAAAATAAGATATTATTGATTATGGCTATGTGTAGTTTCGTGATTGTTACAATACATTCATTAATTACTAGGAAGCTTTTCAACTTAAATGCAAATATTTGTTATTTGTTTTATGATAGAATTGAAAAAAATTTATAAAAAAACCCGATTACGCATGTCCTTTTGTACATATTATATTGCGTATGCAAACAAAAAAAAGCTTGCAGTAAAAATGCAATCGGAAACCAAACCAAACTATTAGGATAGTCCGGACAGTAGCTGTGCACTTCTTTGCTCTTCTTGAAGCTCTCTTATCATTGAATGGGCAGTCGGTA